TTTGTCTATACAGCTTAAAACTTTGTCCCCTTCTATTTCAAAAATATCCACGTGGATGATTTCACAAGAACATTATAGGATTGGTGTGCTTTGTAGCTCTGGCCTGTTTGGGTGCCTATCATACTTGCTAACCCTAGACGTTTCACGTGACAGAATATAATTTCGAATTGTATTGCTAATTTTTGGAAAGTAGTATCGCTTTAAAATTTGTTTTCTATTCTCAGTAGTATTTCGATGAGCTCTCCTATGCTCTTCCCATATGACTTCACATATTCTATCGGGGTATCGCAGATCTTCTACAAGAGTCTGAGCTACCCGGACCGTTTAATGTATAAAATGTTCTAAATAGACCGTCTGAAGCATCCCTAAGTGGGTTTCTGGCATTTTTATACTATTTATTACATCCGGTCTCAGTTTTTCCTTCAGTACATTAACGAGCTGTTGCTCGCTGATTCCCTCTATTGCTAAATAGTGTCGAAGGTAACCGGGATGAGGCTCCTCGCTTATTCGCAGCCTGCCCCCCGAACACAATCTGGTTCCTAAGCACATTCAGTGGCCCTTCAACAAATGGGATTAGGTCCGAGTTGTCTGGTTCAGCACTGTGAATGGTGTCGCCGGTTGAACTGCTCTCGCTGGCAGAATCTGCTATTGAACCCATGGTTGCATTTTGGCCGGCGATTTTAGACGAGGATGTCAGGTGGTTTACCTGCGTTTTTAATCGCGAAAGAGCATCAGCCACGACATTGGATTTCCCTGGCTTGTATATAAGTTATATTCCGACCTGTTTTCTTAAAAACTGCGCTGAGAACATTTTCGAGCCTTTAACAACTCTATTCAATTTGTCACTTAAACATGGCGTTTTTCCGTCAGCCTGGAAGGAGTCTTTCATAATACCACTTCACAAAAACGGCAGCAGGTCCTCTATAGGAAACTATCGAGGCATAGCGAAACTCTCCGCTATCCCCAAATTATTCGAAGCAATTATTGTTAACCAGCTGACATATTCTATATCTTCTTCAATTACACAATCTCAACACGGGTTTTCTAAAGGAAAATCTACTATGACTAATTTATTGGAGTTTACAACTCATGTCTCAAACGGTTTTAGAGAAAATGCTCATACCGACGTAATTTACACCGATTTCAGTAAAGCTTTTGACAAAGTATGTCACTCGTTACTCATCCGTAAGCTCGGCCTAATCGGCTTTCAGCCCAGTCTTCTTCAATGGATCTCATCTTACCTCTCTGATAGAACACAAAGAGTTATTGTTAATAATTGTTCTTCCAACATCATTAAAGTTTCTTCAGGAGTTCCTCAGGGAAGCCACCTTGGTCCGATTCTGTTCCTGATATTCATTAATGATATTTCTTCTATAATAAAACATTCAAAAATTTTAATGTATGCCGATGATGTGAAACTTTTTAAAACATTGTCCTCTATCGAAGAAAGGTCTTTGTTACAAGCGGATCTGAACAACGTGGTTAGTTGGTGTAATACAAACTATATGCCACTAAACCTTCAAAAATGTAAAGTCATGTGTTTCTCTCGGAGGGCTGTTCAACCAGCTGTTTATTCAATATCAAATTATAATCTGGAGCAGGTATCCAATTTTGTCGATCTTGGTATCACAATGGATTCCAAACTCAATTTCAACCATCATATTAATGTTACAGTCAATAAAGCCAAAGGCGTTTTTGCATTTGTAAGGCGATGGTCAAAAGAGTTCAAAGATCCTTATGTTACAAAAGCTCTTTTTACCAGTTTAGTTAGACCTATACTAGAATACGGATCTATTGTATGGAATCCCCGCTACCAAGTTCATTCAGAAAGGATTGAATCAATTCAAAAACAATTCTTGCTTTTTGCATTGCGTAATTTTAACTGGGATTCAGATTACAATCTCCCCCCTTACACAAGTCGTCTAAAGCTCATAAATTTGCCTACACTCGCAAGTCGTAGAGAAATTCTGGGTATAATATTTATCCTAAAATTAATGACAGGCTTGATTAATAGCCCGGCCCTCCTGGCTGAGGTAAATTTTAATGTTCCTTCTCGAGTGTCAAGACACTTTCGACCTCTATTTTTAAAGC